TCCTTCTACATAAGGTGGAGCCCCTCCCCTGTAGCAAATAGTCTCTGTAGTCAAGAGAAAAAGGAACAAATCAGAACTAACAAAGAAACTGACAAACATCTACTAATATACCCACAGGGTCACCTACAAATTCCAGAATTCACTCCAAAAGATATCCATTAACAAAGGTTGCGATCTAAAAATATCCTAAACTTAAAAAAGTGCTACAACTATTGTAGGAAAGGTCCAAACCGAATATCTCCGGTACAGGCGTCAATGGATGCCAGGGATGGACAGCTTGCTCAGTGTTGACGGAACCACTGGACTCAAACGGGGGGGAGGATCAGCCGGTTTAGCTTCAGGAAATTCAACCTCAGCAAAACTTGAATTGAAATTATTTCTGGATTTAAAAATATATATAGTTATTAAAATCAAATGTATTATAAAGTAATTTTTTTATTTAATTCTCTTCTTTTTTTTTTCTCTGAACATTGTTGATTGATATATATTTCTGGATTTTAAAGAAGCTGTGTGACGACGTTTTTCCTATCCATGCCTGGCCCAGCGCCGGGATGGTGTACACCACCGTGCGGCTACTGTACTCCGGACAGAAAGGACAGTGAATGAACGTGGTCTCAGGTGCGACCACGATCAGAGATTGTAGAACAGACGAGGCAATAGATGAATGTACACCGAACTGCGACCGAATACACAGCTTACAAGTCGGAAAATCAAGAAGGGTCTCGGGAAAAAAAGAATTAAAAAAATCAAGAAGGATAGACGCGACTACGGTAGGTACCGGACAATATTTTTGCTGCTGAACTTGGAAAAAAGCAATATTTTTGCAATTAACCCAAGTCTAGAAGGGATGAATTGGGACAACCAGTATGACCAAGAACAGCATGGGACGCAGGAAAACATGTCTAGAGTGCCGGACTCTTGTGTGAAAGGCGCCCAAATTAAATTTTAGTATTTACAAATTTCGACGAATCTAGCCAACCGCCGCGGTAGTATACTATGTAGACTTAATTAATTTCATATAATCTGGGCAGCACGGCATGCCCTAGGTAGTGTCGGCAGCACTCCCACCGCCTTCCCCGTGTTGAGTTTTTTTTTTTTTTTTTTTTTAACAAAAAAAAAGGAGTATATCATATCATCACAGGCTGGGAAACGGGCCCAGCGTAAAAAAAAAAACAAAAAAAAACGGGCCCAGCGTCCCAACTCCACGCAAGGCGGCGGTTTCGACGTTTCTACAGCGGATGTGGAAACCGCTGCTCGGGGACAATTGTAGAATCGTTTCCACATTTGGGCATCAACGGCATGTGCGGCTATGCCAAAATGTTGAAAAACGAATTTATTTTGACATTAGTGTGGCGAGCCCCCCCAGCCTGCGTCCCCCTGGCCCCCCCCCCAAAAAAAAAAAAAAAAAAAAAAATCTGGACAGTGGGGCCCGACTTTGTCTTCATCTCTTGTGATTGGATTTTGAAAAAGTGTTTGAGAGATTGGGCCTTGCTCCACCACTCACCAAACGGGCAAAATGCCGTAGCTGCACCCAACAGCAGGGGCCTGGTCGAATCAGCGAAGATGATTGAATTTCATTCCGGAATCTGGACGTGTTTGCGGACTCATGCAGAGAATTGCGCTTGATCTGCTTTTCTGTATCTCTGCGCAAAGCGCATCCAGATTCATGGATTAAACCCAACCCTCTTCGCTAATGGGACCAGGCCCCAGGTGTACACATAGCCTGCTGCTGGGTGCAGCTCCCGCATTTTTTTTTTCAACAAACATGGGCCCAGTGCCCAAGGCATTATATTTCCAACAAAGTTTGAGGCCGGGGTCCTCACAGTCTACCCGGTGTGAACCTCTGGGAGCCTTACCCAGTTTCGCTTAAAAAGGAAAGGGACTGAAACTGTTAAAACCACGAGGACCAATCTCCAGTATGTACACAAAAACAGTGTACCATACCAATAGTTGCAAATCTGCAACGACCTGAAGCTATCCTACTTATCCTGAGAATATGCTGGAAATCGGGTCCAGTGTCCCTTATCGATAAAACAATTATTCCAGAAGGCCTATCTAGGATAAAGTCGGAAAGAGATCGGTCTGGGTCCAACATTCTTGCCTTTATTATTGTCACTCCATCTTGCTCATAACCATTACGGTTGATTCCTGCATTGCAGAAGAGAGAATCATTGCTGTTTTCAAAGTGATTCAAAGGATTGCAGTGCACGCACTGCAACTGGGAAAGGGCCCAGCTTCCCTAAGCCTGCATAAGGACTCCATGTAATGGTGAAGTCTGAAAAGAATAAGGCAAACCTCCATTATAACTCTTTTTTAAAAAAGTAATCTTGGTATAGAGAGGGGTGGGAGTAAGGCGGATAGGGTAAGAGGAGGTGAAAGGAGGATAGGATAAGGCGGGAGGATGGCAATACATAAGGGTTATATCAGTGGGTGGTCTTAAGGTTTGTAGTTATTGTAAGGGTAGGGGAAAGGATAGTACATTATTTACAGTATATACAAGATTGAGAAAAATTATAGGATATCTCAGTCAGGCTCAATTGCCCATGTTCTTCTGGCCTCCAGCATTCCGGAGAAAAGCAGTCTTCCTTTCTGGTTGGGGATTGCCCAGCAGTGGTCCTGCGCCCACTTCTTTGCGGATCTCTGTGCTTGGTCCTGCAGGGGAAGATTTGCTCTCCTGTTCTTTCGCCAGTCTGCCTCAATGATGTCTCTGATACCTCTTCGCATGAGTTGTTGTGCTCTTTCCTTCTTCGGCTCAGCATTGTTGAAGCACCAGCTCCCGCATTTTTGCCCATTTGGCTGAACGCATGCCTTTTTTCTTTTTTTTTTTTACAAAATCTCGATTTATGGGTGTCATCCTTGAAAGCGCGGGCGCCATGCTAATCCAGCTTCTCTGTATCGTTCCAAACCATGGGGTTTCCCATAATACTATATTGTTAATAATAATAATAATAATAATAATAATAATAATAAAGGCCTAGAAGGCCGTCCTGTCCACATTTGACAGCTTAAAAAAAAAAAAAAAAAAAAAGAAAGGGAGGCACAGCTACTGACATAATCTTAGACTAAATCCTTACCCAATCTAATCTGAATTGAACATTCACTGAATTGCCACTTGTGAGGGAGGGATTGAATTCATTGACTGCTCTTTTTTGTTTTTTTGTTTTTTTGTTTTTTTTGTTTTTTTGTTTTTTTGTTTTTTTGTTTTTTTGTTTTTTTGTTTTTTTGTTTTTTTCCAACATCAGGTTGGGCTGCCTGAGGTGATTGATACAAGCAGCATCCCCATGCAGTGGGCTCCCATTGTAGATTTGTGATGGCTCCGTTCCATTGTAACAGTTGTGATGAGGAGCATAACTTCTCTTTCCTTCTTTGCTCGATTACGTTTTCCTTCTTCCTTCTTTGCTCGATTGTACCGACCGGTAGCTACAGTCCACTGTAGGGCTCGCTACCGGTCGGCCAAGGAGGAGCGAACTCGTGCACTGTTACATGTGTGCGCTGTTTACTGACAGCTACCGGGGCTAGGTCCCACTTGCACGAGTTAAGCGATAATGGCAAGATCGACGGTCAGAATCTCGTAATCCGTGCAAGTGGGACCCTGCCCCCGGTAGCTATACATGTGTGTGTGTGTGTGTGTGTGTGTGTGTGTGTGTGTCACAGTGTGTACCATTCACCAAAGCACATGCATGGGGCTAGGATTTTTATTTATATTTAAATTTATATGTTTTATAGATCTTCGGTTGTCTTCGCCCACAGAGCTCGTCCTGGATTGGACAGGGGGAAGTAACTGATGCATGCCAGTGCATGCAGACGCCACGCCACAACGCCACAACGCCTCAATGCCACCTTGCTGCTCCGCTGCTGATTGAAGTCAGACAGTCAGTACCATTTCGACCCCCAGAAGGTCAAAGAGAAGAGCAAACCGGCCGGGTTAGCAGCTGCGGGTGAGTACTGTCCATCTCCGAGTCGCTGGCCTGAGCTCAAAGAGAAGAGGAAAAGAAGTAGACGAGCAACAGCTCAAGAAGAAGAAGAAGAAGAAGAAGAAGAAGAAGAAGAAGAAGAAGAAGAAGAAACAGCAAAGAAGAAGAAGAAGAAGAAGAAACAGCAAAGATGAAGAAGAAGAAGAAGAAGAAGAAGAAGAAGAAGAAGAAGAAGAAGAAACAGCAAAGAAGAAGAAGAAGAAGAAGAAGAAACAGCAAAGAAGAAG